AGTTGCGAGTTGCAGAGTGATATGACTGCTGGCCATTAAAAAGCTTTCACAAACTGGTCCCACCTACCAAGATCCAATTATCTCATGGTAAATCTTTCTGAGCACTCCTTGATCCCCTTCTACCAAAATGAAGCAGTGGAAACTAGGCTTTGGGGTGGGTTATATAGGTACTGTACACATGTGCATGTCCACTATATACTGCATACTATTTACTATGCATGTGCATGTCCTGTATGTGCTGTATACAGTATACAGTATTATTATGGTCAGCCATTTCAGTGGCACTCCTTGAAATAGTCTCCTGTAGTGCGTACAGTAATATCTCTTGATCAGTACTTTTCCAAGCCCTCACTTTATTAAAGTGTATGGGTAATTATTTAATCCGGCCTAGTGTTAGCTGTACTAATTGAAAGCTCTTAGGCCTGTCGATATGCAATTTGTTCAGACGTTTAAACTGTGCATGTCATAGACAGAGCTTGAAAATGCAATAAATATAGAAACCAAAGCTTTGATGAGTTCAAGAATATATTGCCTGTTTCTGAAATTACATTGTTTTTTTTCCAGCAAAAAACATTAAATCATCCATGCATGATTTTAAGTAACAGAAAGGAAAAGGTATTTTTTCCTCCATCAAGGATTTGATTAAGCTGTAGTCTTTGAGGAAAGAATAAATGAGTTACCATTTCCCCTCTCCAACAACAGCCCTTAAGTGCTAATAAATAAACAGGAGTAATTATTTCCATCTGGGTTCCTGCAGTGTGTTTAAATAACAGATATAAGGTTGCTTTATTTTAGAATGTTTGAAAGAGGCACTAGCTTCTTAATTTAGCATATTGTGCTTTATTTTTTAATTTTAGGGGAAAGAAATACATATATATCTGGCTTAAATTGTTGTTTTAATTTTATCTTCAAATCCCTGGAACATTGAACTGAACCATCCCTATCAGCTTCAGCCAGTGAAAATTCTCTATGTTTTGTGTATAATTTTTAATTAAATTGGGTATTTCGGTTTATTTTTTTCTCCTTTTGCTTTAGTGACAGTTGTAAACATTTGTGCCTCTAACAGCGATAAATCATGTTGATTTAATAAATTAGCTAAAATAAATTTGAAGAATCTGAAGGATTGCTTAGACTGATATACTGTTAGTACACATTGTGATCTCTTTTACATTGTCTTTTTTATTTTTTGTAGAAAAAAGTAAATGTATTACTTAGACTTAGTTTTTCATTGGTCCTATCAAGAAAGGACATGACTCCCTAAAGATATTCATTTTTTTTTATCTTTCAGGTGTGATTGGAGCAGATGTGAGAGGGTATAACTTGCCTTGTGAGAAACAACCAATCACATCTCGCTTAGCCTTGATCTGTGGAACCTCTTCCTGTCACATGGGGGTAAGTCTGTTGTGACATGATGACAAAGAGACTGTCTCACAACCTGACACTTTGCCCTTTAGACCCCTATATTGTTTGTACCATCATCACATGTTATTGTCCTTATAGACTCTCTTCCCTCAGTTTCCCAAAGAAATGTCCTCATCTGCATATTTGTGCTACTGTTTTTATGCTGTTAGGTTAAAAACATCTACAAAGGGATGAAGAAAATGAAAGAATAAGGAATCTTGTACAATGTACTGTAGGTGAAAATGTGTGAAGACCATCCTAAGAGTAAGAACTAGTATCCTGGAAACCATTAGCAAAATATTTTTTTCTATATTAAATAACATATGAGATGTAATTACAACACATTAATTTTGCCCCCCTGCAGTACATTTTTGTGGACTGCCATTAAAGCCTCAGTTTGTTTTCACTCAGTTGTTGCTGGATTTTATTTACAACACCTTTTTATCTTGTCTGTCCTGGGAATTGTTGAAAGAAATCCACATCAAATAATCTAGTAAAAAAACAGCTACAGTTTGTTAAACTATAAATTGTGTGTTGTAAAAGAAAAAAATGCAAAACTACAGATCAGCTTTGCAGTTTTTTTAAAAAACAGCTTTGACTTATTGATGCAGTACAATGACATTCTGTAGTAAATTACTGTGTTAACAATGTCATGATAGAGTGTTGTTTAGTATTACACAAGAATCATGACTTGGAAAGCCCCAAATCTTCCAAGTTTATAGGTATCTTCAAATGATCACATTAAGTTTTATTCATTAACCTATTAAGTGGATAAATTATTACGGACAACCATAAGAATGTAACTCTCCAGGGAAAAAGTTGGAGACCCTGATATTACAGTATATTCAGCGGTAGTTTTTAAGACAACCTTCCAATAATGAGACTAGTGTATTCAAACTTGGAAGTAAACCAATTCTTTGTGTGTATATATCTGCACACACAAGTGGCTACTGTTCTTCAACTAAGACATTGCAGTACACTTTTATTAAGCTTATCTCATTGATTTATCCTGGCCCAAAGTTTAACCCTAGGTGCCAACAGGAAGCAATATACCCTTGTTAATCAGAGCTGCCCGAGCATAATTAAAATTACAGTATGTGTATAAACACTGTAGATTTCATTTTCAAAAGAAGTCTTCAGATGGCAGTTACTGACGAATGTTTTTGTCGGTTTAAATGTTTACTAACTGAAATATTCAAGTTTGTCTCCTTAACCTTCTAATAAATCCAAGAAATATCTCTTCTACGTTACAGGTCCTATTGCTTTTTGATCAATTTCCAGACATTTTAACCAAAACAAAAAGTAGTAGGTTATAATTAATATCCTGTACAGAGCTCCTGAAACAAATATGTTTATTCTTCATTCTCCACTCTTATAAATAACACTAGCACATACAGTCACTTTCCTTATAATTGTCATTATTGTAATATTGTAAATAAATTGTGAATGCTTTCATAATTACTGCACATTTACATGTGTTTTTCTTTAAAGATTTGGTTAGGTAAACTTGTTATCTGAGAAAATAAGAATCAAAGCTTCAGTACACAATGGGGAATGATACATCTCAGGTACAATATCATATAAAACTACTAGGAAACTTAATATTAGTATTTCATTTTGTATCAGGTAACTTTGTGAGTCTTTTAAAGTGCATGAACATTACACCTAGGAATTCAGAAATGTGATATGACAGATATAAACATAGCATCTGTCTGGTACACAGGTTCCTTATTATGCTTTTAACTGCTTTTACAGTTATGTACGTGTTGTTATTGAGTGTTGTATGTAATGGAGTAAATACAGGAACTCTTAAGTAAGAGTAATGAGGAGAGATGGCAAGCCTGGCTATAGTTAGTATTTCTCTGAAGTGCCTCTCTATCAGTGCCCTCAGTGCAGAAATGTTTAATGGCTCAGTTCACCTAATCAACACTGAAGGGTTGTCCAGATGCCCTCTTTGATCCTCATCATGTGTACCTGCCGTGGACCACTGCCAGCACAAACACCTTTGAAAGTTGATCCCTGCAGATAAATGTCTTCCACAAGAGAGCTGAAGGTCATCCTGTGTTGTGGTTTTGGCACACACAGCAGCTGGTTGGGAAAGGAAAAAGAATAAAAAGAAATTATTTTTTTTAAGTAGCATAAGATAGAAGGTTTAACGGAATGTGTCTAATGAGAGAAAGACGATCCTCAGAGACAGCGTCTGTCGGCACTTTAAAAACTCTTCCATGCATGATGCACTTTGTGATAGTGCTGTGAGTCACATAGGAGACCGTTTTGTTTGATCTCTTGTGAGAACCTCGGGATGTGTAATTTCTTAAGGAGATGCTGACCTTTGCTGGCTCTCTTGGAGCAATTTGCTTCTTAATGCATCACCAGGAGACGTTCATTACAGGCAAACTAATCCAACTTTTGATAAATCAACCACCGGAGTTGAGTGACTATGTGCAAATGCTTATGCAAATGCCAGTTTTTACATCTGATGTTTTTTTATGTACAAAAACGTGCTTATGAAAATAATGAATGCATGCTTTATTATGTACACAGTGCATTCTCTTGAGCATTATTCTTGGCCATTCTGATTTTACTGGGAAAAAATGAAAGCAGGTGCTAAAATGTATGTTCTCCTTACTTTCAGTTTTGTATATATGTTTACTTATGTGTGATTTTGTAGATCCACTAGTGATTTTTCTACTTAACAGCTTTGTTTGCCAGAAGTCTTGCAAGGTAATAAGTGCTCTTTTCCTAGATAGTGATGAGAAGGTTGAAACAGAGTCTTCTGTGACAATATTCTTGCAAAGTCAGATCCAGTATATCATTGTGTACTCACATTGTTGACACACAGAGGCAGCTATATTTAGCTTTCTTGCCTGGTATAGTTTATTCATTGATTGGACTGCTGTTATCGTTTGAGATGCTTTAGAAGGACAAGCTATCCTGCTTCTGACTAAAAAATAAACTTTTATTGCTTTGTTTTGTTCTTTACAGTGTCATTTGTTCATAGTTAGAGATAACCATAGAGATAATAATTTAGCCTAATGGATAGTATAAATGAAATCATAAAATGATTAATCAAGAATGAACACCCAGCCTGGAAATCTCGAAACTTGACAACATACAAAGAAAAAGTATATTTCATATCAGACTCTCTCTTACCCTAACTTAGTTTTCATAATTCTGGATTTGCATTTGTAGCTGACTTTTGTCTGCCCATTGCTCTTCAGTGTATTTAGTTTTTTCAGTGGTGTGATGATATGGGATGTGCAGATAATCCTACTGACAACATTTCATTTTTAGCATGTATTGTCTATGATGTATTACAAGGATGATGCTTACAATCAAATCACGCTGATCATTTAATCAGTCTGTTAATTTAGATGACATTTATAGAAATAAAAAGGGAAAAATCACATAATTAAGTGAAATTAATCTCTGTGATTGAAGTTTGTTGCTGGTGGAAGGCATTTTATGTCAGATTCAAGGTGCTATGGGTGGGTTTTACACAGTACATTTTCCGTTGCTTCAGTCCAATCCATTAAATGAAAATATATATGCTGAATTAGCAGTGGATGCTTATTTAATATAAATAAGCTCTTTCTTGATTTGATAAATTTACAGTATGTACTGACATATGTACTGACATTCAGGTGTAGTTTTAAAAGAATTCCTCAGATAAAAAAAATATCTGTGTTATCCTACTATATAATTGAGGAGAAATGTGGAGGGAAAAGGTTGTGTTCGAGTAGCATGTTACCAAAAGCCAAGAAACTTTATAATAAATAAACTTTGATCTAAGTCATATTTGATTTTAAAAAAGTCAGCAATTGTCAACATGAACCAGCTTGTTCTTAAATGGCAAATTAAAACCTTTCTCTTAAAAAATAACAATGCACTCAAAAAAATGTAGTTATTTTACATTACGACCAGGACATTAATTAATGTTTTCCTCCAACAAAATAAAAATGTATATGGAATTCAAAAATAGACAGTGTAATTAAACTGACATACTGTAGTAGATAGAATTTCCTGCTCCAACCTAATAAAGATAAATGAAAGTTCTTTACAGGACATGACAACTTCTAAACCACTGAAAACAACAATGTAGTACTATTTGGAACAGTTAAGTCTTTCAAAGTGAAAGGGATGCATTGTCTGTCTTATCTGTAAATCTTGGCATATGTTTGAGAAAAAAGGCTGGATAAATTGAAGTTAAATGTCTTGTGTCGCTCAGCTTTTATCCCAAAATTTACATTTACAGTACCTTAAAGTATTATATAGAAGCACTTACTCTACCCAAAGACTGAGAACATTACTTTTAAATGTTCTGTGGGTCATTAACAGTTACTTTCTCCTCAAGCTTCATGATCTTTTATATTTCACTTGGCTAATTTTGTTATTGTTTACCGATTATTCTCCTAATTTCTCTGATGTTTAGACATGCTAGGAGTCTGACAGCGGCCTGGGTGCCAGCATGCTCACAGTAACGCCATAGACGGATCTGCTGAATCCCCTGAAGATTGCTGCAGGGGTCATGTAAAAAGATGATTAGTTTAATTGGTGGATGGGGACAAAGGAGTCTGTCTTCACTTGCTCATTCTTCCTAAACGGGTAAAGACGTCGCTCTGAGCCAAGATGTAAAAATGCTGTTCGTGACACCGAAATTATGTAGGCACATAAAAAATAATTGCTGTTTTTTAAATTTTGAAAACTAGGCTCAGTCATGTCCACATTAAATAGTGTAGTTTGCTTTGCGGTACTAACACTGTTTCACACTGCTCCTTGAAACAGTTGGGTTTCATTGCATGTTTTAATATCTGTCGTCGATGGCTGTTTGCTTATCTGCAAACAACCTGGGATCGATCAAAGTGTCTTGTGTGAGACATGTAGTAGACTCTACAGGTTTCCAGTTGGACACAGACTGAAACTGACGCCCCTACACGCCTTCTGCACTTTTCCCTCTTTTAAAACCTCAGCAACAAAGGGTCTCTGTGCCT